TTGTCCAGAAAATCTATATGTGTAACAATCCAAGCGAAAAGAAACCGTGAATTAAATATCCCATTTTTGTTCAAGCCTATTGAATGGTTCAGGTGGCTCGATTTGGCCCGTGGGCCACCAGTTGATAATCACAGTCCTGTGAGGAAATTTGACCAAATCAGGCTTTTTACGGAGTAGGGAAACTTTGTTTATTAAGGTTAAAAATATAAAAAAATATTTGTTTTTTTTTCCTGAAGGCTCAACACAAAGCTTTGGTTAGAAGCCTTTATTTTTGTATTGACAATGATGCACTTTTGTTCTGTAACATCTTTATTGATTGATGCAGCTAAGTGATAACACTAAATGTTTAATATATCCATCACGACTCTTCTTGTTTTGGATGTGATTACAACAGTATTGATGCCGATTAGATTGTTTTGTAAAATCAGAAGGAGAGCTACGATATTACGACGTTAAATTCACCCTTCCTCACTACGTGATAGCCCTTAATGTTGGGTGGGCATAAAACTACTATATATTACATAATGTTATCAGAATCAGTGGGAGAAAATAAGTAAAAGTGGCTCATTGATAGCGTTAGCGTCACGCATTAATTGTATTTGAGTTTGAGAAAGTGCTTGATTTCATATGCAGTGCATTAATTGTATTTGAGTTTGAGAGAGTGCTTGATTTCATATGCAGCAGAGCCCACTTTTAAACGTTAACATTGCGACCAATCATCTTCATTTAATCGTTACGGCCAAAATTGTGATTATGACTTCAATTCGATTCATTGCACAGCCTTATATGAACTATACCTATAACTTTACTCTTCCTTAACTGTTACAAGAACCACGCAAAGGTACAGTATCTTGAGAGTTACGACGTTTTTAACTAATTACCCAGTAGCAAATAATATTATTATTTAAAAAAAAAAAATTATATAGTATATATATAAGTATAAACAACACTTTGAATGACACATCTAAACAGATACTTGAAGCCTCCCTTAAAAGGTAAAAGTCAATGTGCTGACTCAAACCAATTCTGAACATATGTCCTAGATAACTTGCAGTTGTTAAAGGGTGGGTCACACACACACACACACCTGTCACAGCCCCAGCAGACATGAGCACATGGGCCTGTGGTTTTATGTATAGAGTTCATGGGAGAACAGTTGGGACTGACAAACGCAGAATATATATATATATATATAAATACATATATATATATATATACAGAATAAAAACCGTCTCACAGTACAGACGTTAAATAATGGACATACGTGTGGTTTCTCCATAGACCAGACATGTTTCCATAAGCGGCGTTCTCCTAATGCACACAGCCTTTTAAATGGGGGACCCAATATTTGTCTCTGCGGTCATATAAATCCCATATTGTAAAACAAAAAGCCACAGCCTTTTAGTCTGCCTAAGTGGTACGAAGAGTTGTTCAGCCATAAGCCTTCTCATTGGCTAAAGGAGGGGACATGTAAGACGAAAGCTACAAAAAAACAAACAAAAAAAAAACACCACCCATTAAATATGAAAGCATGTTAGCCAACCAAACATTTTGCAGTTGGTGCATACTAATAATGATCAGAATCATTCAAAGTGACCGTAAAAGTTACTTATTTATTAAGATAAGCTTTGTAAGGTCATCATGAGTGTACATTTTAACACTTACTTTATTTGGTCAAAAAAAAACAGATAACGATTTGTTCACTTCTGTCACAAGCTTCCTATTTGTCTCAAAATAGAAAGAAATAGGTCAGTTGACTCAAATAACTCGAATAAACACAAGCATTTACACACACCTCCCTAACCTCAGATTACCGCAGTAAATACTCCTCATGTTTTACCCGTAACAAAATGTGCAAAAAACTGTGACACAAAACTTTGCTTCATAGAGTTGGTGGATTTTCAGCATTGCAGCACATTTTGACAGTTGGCCTGTAAAACACGTTAACAGACGCTATCAAAACTTCGGTTAAGTACTGAACAATATTAGTCAGTCTACAGTCCATTTGACAATTGCGCCAGTCGGCTTAAAATTAGTGATGTTCGATACCACCAATTTCCTTTCTGATCCGATACCAAGTAAAATTCGGGCAAAAAAAAAAAGAAAAGTGTATTTCAAATCATAGCTTCTTTAAGAATCCAAGGCAGAGTTTTTTATTTATTTATTTATTTTAAACTCTGGAGTGTACTCAGGTAGCTGCCTCATTTACTATACAGTCAACACAACAATAGAAAAACCTGAGAACACAATCATATAAAATGTGTCAAAACAATGTTTCCAACTCTGAAAACATGTTATTTGTAAAAACAAAAATTAAAAAATAAAAAATAAAATAAATAATCTGAGGAGCCATTTGGGACCCGAAAGAGTCGGATTTTTTCAGTGAACCGAGCCAAAAGAACCGGTTCTCTAAAAAAGAGCCGAAATTCCCATCAAGCCCCTGTGCTTACGCATGACACACACACACCCAGGCGGAAGAAGAAGTAGTCCCACCAACCGAGTGTCACTTAGACAACATCTCAATCGTTTGGATACTTTTCACCATGTTTCTGTTTAGGATACACCTCATCTCAGAATGCGTAAGTATCAAAAGTATCGATATTTTGATTTCAGAATCGATTTTAGAGCATAAAGATCCAGAATCGGAAGTATTGATATTTCAGGATCGATCCGCACATCACTACTTACAACACACTATTTTGCAACCCTGCACTCGGTGAGGATGGTGTAACACATAGTGGACGTCTTACCCCAGAGTTCAAGCCCTCACAAATACTTTATAAAAACAAATACAGGGCAATATATATATAAATATATATATATGTTGTAGTTGTAATATGTATTATCTGTGACATCTGGTTATGTTCTTAATGTGATTTTTTAGCTAAATACCTGTTCCTTTGTAGCAAGACCTACAATGATGCCTAGTGTACAGATCATGGCTCTAGTCCAAAACCCAAACGGCTAATCTGGAGGTGATGGAATAAGATGTTGTCTTATGTGACCCAGATCGATAGACAAGTCCGAGGGGCAAGGTTGAGAATAAAGGTCTTAAAGCAAAACTCTGTGAACACTGCTATCAGAGGTCAACACTGGATGATCCATTAGTACAGTCTGACGCCGAAATGTGACATTCACTGACATTTTTTCGACCACAGACAGGCAAGCGGAAACACCTAATCCAAATTCCTTGATAACGCTTCTTGAATGATACTGGGTAAAAAATAAAAAAATAGAAAACAGACCAGAACCACTAATGGACACGTGCTGGTATACAATGGAAACTTAGACATTTCATTCACATATTTAAATTCCTTAGAGAGCAGTAATAATGGAGCAGAGAGCTTTTCTGTTGGAAACACCCAACAAACACACACACACACACAGGCATTCGTAGTGACAGCATCAGACTTTACGGGAAATAGAAGACAGCATGCGACTGAGTAAGAGGAAAATGAGAGAAAGAGAGAAGAGGGAAGGAGGGGGTTCAAAGATCAGAAAACAGATGTACGCTGATTCGCAAACTCGACTCCAAATGGCTAACACGTGTGCGAAACTTTCCCCTCCCTGTGTGCTCACACAAATACACATACAAAATACACATACATACATACAAACAAACAGAGAAAAGCTGTGCACCCAACTATAAAAAACCCCACATATTTAATGCCAAATAAGCACATAAATGAATATACAAATAAAATCAAAATGTGTTCAAACAATGTGTTTTCCTCATTACAGAACATCTGTTATTTTTAACGCTAATCACAGTGATGCTTAACGCTGTCCTTGCCTCCATCTTAACTAACTCCGAACTGTTATATTTATGTTCTTCTGATGGAATTCTGTGCTCATCGTGACATGTTGGTAAACCAGGAAGACTTTTTGAAAAGTCTTTGACACAATCGTTATACGCTAATTCCATAATCGCAATAAAATCAAACTCAAAATATAACAATAATCATCATCATCATTTTTGCGGCCTTATATAAACTGAGAATACAAGGGTTTCTTTGAAATCTGAAAAATATGTATTTTGTAATAAGTATTTTTTGACATGAGTCTTGTATGGATTTGGAGAATGCAAGGGTTTCTTTGAAATCTGAAAATATGCAAGTATTTTTTTGACATGAGTCTTGTATGGATTTTATCAATACCATGAGAGATGCATTTATGTGGCTTGATACTAGTGTGCAGCTCATGACATAACAAATGAGTCAGCACCAAAAACCTGGCAAAGCCACCGACTGCCGACTCATGACCCAATCACTGTGTGTGTTTTTAATATTCAACCACACATATGATCACTCACAAATCCCACATCTGAATACACCTACCTGGCACGTACTTTGTTACAATGCCAGTATCAACCGTGCTTTGTTTAAATGTGTTAAAGTATAACAGCGAGCACAAATTATGTGCTTTGTTTAAAATGTGTTTAAAGTATAACAGCGAGCACAAATTATTCACTTTGACAGTGGAAAGGCCACTGTGAGTTTTTTTTTAAAAAAGGACACACACACACACACCCAGGTTCCCATGACAATACCCATTTATGAGGCCAACCATAGAAATTTCACTTTAGCTTTTACATTCCTTCACTCCGACATTTCACTGCCAGTTGAATTCCACAACCTTAACTAACTCTAACTGAAACAACAGGGCTAGGTTTAGAGTTAAGGTCCAAGAAATGGTATAAACAAACACACGCACCTCATGACAGTTGGGTATGTGTGTGTGTGTGTGTGTGTCTGACATCGTTTCAGACACAAGCTACACTCCGTGCTTTGAACTCGAGCAGCTTAGTTCTGCTCTTGTTTAAATCACAGGCCTCTTCTAGAGGCAAGTCAACGGAAAGCTCCAAACAGTTAAAAAACAACTACTTTGCGTTCACAGCGGCATTTAAACAAATATGTCAGCGTGTAAACAATACTATGTATAACATCGTAGTTTACAAATTCGTCTCTAAGAATGACGCGGACACGGCTAACGATAACTACCGTCTCCTTCCATTCTTCTTCTTCTTCTTCTTTTTGAAGTAAAGTGTCCGTGAACTACAGTACAGTCTACAAAAACAACCAAAGCGTGTTTGTTCTCGTCGGCGCCGTCGACCCAGTCCTGAGCTCAACAAAGGGAGACAATAAAACAAGACTTTATGTTTTGCAATCCCATCCCTTCTGCTTCCCCTTTCTTTCTCTGTCTCTTTTTCAACCACTTTTCTTTTCTTGAAAACACCGCTTCCGCTGCAATGGCAGAAAGCATCTGACTCAGTTTATTTTGGGTTTTTTTAAAATGCAGCTTTTGTTAATGCGATGAAACACACGGGCTCCCAACACAAACACACACACACACACACACCTACCTGAAAGTCGACCGGGACGCGACTCTCCAACTCAACTTGGTTAGTTTTTCACACGACAAAGGACTCACTTCCGAATCTGAGGTGTGTCTACGTTTTCAAGAAATCGTGTTACAATCGGACCCACACATGCACTCTTAGCCAAGACCCATAGAAAATGTAAATTCAAGATGAATGGGAGGGGTAATGTGACGTCACAGTCTGACCACTCCTCTTGCTTCATGCCTACATGATGAGTGGGGTGTCCTCCAGGAAGGCGTGGGTAGTCCCGGAGAAGAAGTCCCTTCAAGAAAAAGCACTAGTTTTTAAATGTAGTAAAAGTATTTATGTAATATTATAATTTTTTTTATCATTGATATTGATTTAAAAAAAACAAAGTATTGTCTCTTTTATGACAATGTACAAAAAGAATCACGAAAGTCACAGCCTGTTGTTTTTCACATAACGTTTTTTTTATGCGTTTGGTAAAAAATTATACACATGGTTTACATATTTTTGGGGCATTTTGATGCATTTTGAGGTGTTCTTTTGGCCATTTTTTTTCTTTACGAAAGTAAATATATATTTTTATTACGTTATTCACAAACCGAAATATGTTTTTTGGTCAATATAATCGAGTAGAATACTCTTTATTGTCATTGCGGTGTAATTTCAGGGCACGTGATTCTTCTTAACTCAAATTGACAGCATGTTACATGGATAATAAGTTACTATAAGATACTGCCGAGCAGCTAAAAGCGTGTTACGGGAAATAACGTTAAATCAGACCCCTACGTAATAGATGGGGTGGTCTTCAAAGTGACACGTACCGAAGGACTTGCTCATATAGAGGAAGAAAAGCGAGTTGGAGTGCTGAGCTTAACAATAGGATGAGTCACGACAGAGGTCTCCGCTGACGAAGGCATATGGTCTGAACTTGTCCATGCAGGAAACAGATGTGCGTGTAAAGCAAACACATGAATCCCGGAAATGTCACATTTGTGTGTTGTGTTTTTCTTTTTCTTGTTCTTTTTTTAGAAAGATTTAGGATTATTGAGGATGTCTTTATTTTTATGCACGTTCCTATAAAGGTTTACATGAGGAGTTTAACATACTTATGTACTGCATGTTGACATATGTCCTTGGATTGACAGTTGACTCCTATTGGTCCACATATAGCCTAATTAAATGTAAAATGGGCCTGACCAGTAGTATCATAACACAATTACCTATAAATAACAACACATCCATGTTTTCCCTTTTCGTTTTTCTGAAAATATATTAGAAAATATTCAGAATCAATTCAATATAATTTGACAAAACATCAAATGTTTGTGCATTTTTTTCACTTTTCTCACTTCCTCAAGCGGGCCAGACTGAACCCCCAAAGCAGGCCAGTTGTTGCCTGCGGGCCGTATGTTGGACAGCCCTGGTCTATAGTTTCCCGTTTGCTAAATTAACAGAAATGTTCTAATAAACAATAGTCATATCTACATTACGGGGGGCACCTTAGAAAAAGTTCCATCAACGGAAATGTTTCTAGCCCTTTGATGCAGGACCCATGATATAAGTGTTTTTATGTGTTTTTAGACATAAAAATAAGAACTGATTTGATTCTGTTTTTATACACCAAATTTTCTTTTTGAATGTTAACACAATTATTCTGCAGTTGCAAAGGCTAATCACTGTATGGCAGTGTTGGGTGATTCTCAGGCGTCCACTGTAGAGGCTTATATGCAACACTGCCATCAAAACCTATTCTTATCATAGAAAATTACATTTTAATAGCTGTCCACTGTAGTGACCGTCATGCATGAAAGGGCTAGAGAATTTATTCAAACTCCATGGGATTACTACTTCATACCCACGACCCAGGAAACAGCGAAGCAAACAAAACATTGTACAGCCATTAACTATTGTACAGGTCTCAGAGGATAATCACATTCCCATTCAGAATTGACAGCAAATCAGTCTTATAAAATAATGCCGAACACTGTTTCAAATATAACAGCACCAAAAAGCATTTCTAAGTGCATAAATGTTTACTGTATGTGAAGCTCTATTTTGTAATAACCAGAGGTGTGGACTCGCGTCACATGACTTGAATTCGAGTCAGACTCGAGTCATCAATTTGATGACTTTAGACTCGACTTGACAAAATGCAAAGAGACTTGCAACTCGACTTGGACTTTAACATCAATGACCCGTGACTTCACTTGGACTCGAGCCCTTTGACTCGACAAGACTTGATACTTTCTCCAAAACCTAAAGTGATCTGTGTAAAAATATTATTATTTTCTTTAAAAGGACTCCAGACAGAAACGTAAGGACTTGGGACTTGACTTGACACTTTTTAGTCTTGACTTGGACTCGACTCGGACTTTGCCTGTCTTGACTTGAGACTTGACTCGGACTTGGGTGCAAAGACTTGAGACTTACTTATGACTTGCAAAGCAAGGACTTGGTCCCACTGTAGGTCAAGGGTCAATGAGCTTACCAAACAATTTTTGTCTTCCAATAATTAGTGCTAAAGGTATTCAAAACAATAAAACAACAAGGGTGCCCAAATGTATGCACCTGCCTACTTTTGTTTAAATAACTTTCTGTAAATCCTATAAACTTGATTTCACTTCTTAAATATCACTGTTTGTTTGCTATGTGATATATTTAATTGAAATTGCTGTTCTGAACAACCAATGATACATAAAGGAAAATCTTGAAAATGATCAGGGGTGCCCAAACGTTTTCATACCACTGTATGTCTAACCAAATAGATATTCTCTGTGCAGTAACCCTGCCTAAATCCTGTACTGATTTAGTAATTTACCCAGAATCCACTAGCTGACATACTCACATAAATAGTATATAAATAAAGTTTTGCATTTGATGCTAAGAGCATACAGACACAGCCACTTGCTCTTAGAGTAGACAGAGGCTGGTGCATAGATAAATGGTGAAAAGGCTTTGTTCAGTCATTGCAGTGCTGACTGCACACTTATATTTAGTTCTCTGATTCATACACAGGGCAGCAGAGAAAGAGATGTCAGTGTAACTTTACCACACCACACTCCTCACAAAAGAACACATACTGTACATTCTTGTCAGTCACTGAAACGTTGACAAACTGTGAGCTGGAATGGATCTCGACTACAGAGCTCCATTTCCCTGTAGTCTCAGAATGTCATGAATGAGTCATGACATGGGTCGTGTTATAGGCTGACTGCAGCTAAAGGTTAGTGCCACTCACTCATTTGGATCAGCAGATATTGGGCATATAAGGAATGAATCACTGAAACAATGAGCAGTCATATATTCAAATGAAAGTTATTTGTTTCAACTGATTTCTTGTCATATTGTCAGCAGACAACAGTAATAAGAGTAGGATGAACAAGTTTTTAATAAATTAAAAAGCTATTTTTTGCAGCTCTGGAGTGTATAATAATTTGCAATGGATCGACAACACACACTCCAGCAGTTAGAAGATCTGCTCCACTTTGTTATATACAAAAATTTGTAGCTCTACTAGACACCTTATAAACAAAAATAAATTAAATGGGTTGGTTTACTCTTACAAATGCTAAACAAAGTATTATGTTTAAGACGTTAGACTTTGAGATTACATTTTTAGTGTATTCACTCAGGGACAAAACTGTGACGTTTCACGTGTCAAACTTAATATTATTTGAAAAATTGACTGCAATTGTGCATAATTTCCCTTCTCTCTAGATCTTGTAGAATTTTTTCATATGGAAACAAACTTTAGTTTTGTGTAAACACTGAATCTGGAACAACCAAAGCTTTATTATAAACACATGAGAAACTAAATTTGAAATAGAACACACATCAGTAGTATATGTTTCTTTATCTTTAGCCTTTTAAGTTTCTTTTAATGTAATGTTTTATTCACAGGCCAACAACAACAAAAAAAAAATAAATAAAAAAGTTTGTTCTATTACATAGCGCACACACCGCTAATACTACAAACCCTGTCTGTATATAGGGGCTATATCAGGCGTGGGCAAACTTTTTGACTCTCAGGCCACAATTGTCCTAAAATTGAACAGGGAGGCCAGCTCAGGAGCAGATAGATGAAGCTAAGATAAACGACATGTGAAAGTCATGCATAAAGGCTAGAATGCTAACCTTCCTTCTAGCATTTTCTATGCCATCTATTTGGCAAGTTTGTCTATTTGGGAAGTATTGCAGGGAAAAGGCAGAAGTGTTATGGTAATATAAATACATTTGGAAAAGTTTGGCGGGCCGGATTAAATAGCTAAACGGGCCGCATCCGGCCCCCGGGCCTTAGTTTGCCCATGTCTGGCCTAAACTATGTTTGTTGTTCTTAAGGCCCTGTATACACGGCTGCGATCGGACTATGGATCCCAGACCAATAGCACAAATTTGGCTTTTAATTTAGACTGGGGGTTCCCAACCCACGGTCCAGGGACTGGTACAGGGCCAATGTCTAAAAGACATTTTATTTGTAAAAAAAAAAAGTAATGATCCTTCAACGATGGCGTGGTACCAGTCTGTAGTTACGGCTGATACTGGCCGACCAGTCCTTGGTACAAAAAAGTTGGCGACCCCTGATATACACATTTAGAATATTGGTTTGGACTCCATGCTCACCCCAGTCATCCCTGCTTATGTGACAAAATAACCATGCCAGCGATGCCAGCCTCTTCTGACTGTGCTAGCTAATGTTGCTACTTGGTGTGCTACAGCTAATTATTCAACTTTATTTCTATTTATTATTTATTTATTTTCAAGGTCTTTGGAACTCCTTCTGTGTCACATGTCACAGGGGCCAAAGTCATTTTCGGCAGCTCCGATTAAATGTGTGAATTGTCTCGCGTGTAAATGGGACAAGATCGTTCAGCACCCGGAGGCTCCGTAACGGTACTGCAGCCGTGAAAACATGGCTTTAGTGAAAGAGAGCCATGAAGGTTTGGAGGGCTCTTAAGCTTTGTGTCGGTGTTTCTAGCTCCCTTTATCCTGTTCTTCGTCGAAAGC